GAGTCTCCTGCCTCAGCCTCCCACATAGCTGGGACCACAGGCGCCCGCCACAACACTCGGCTATTTTTTGTTTGTAGCCATCATTGTTGTTTGGCGGCCCGGAATGGATTCGAAGCCGCCACCTTAGGTGTATGTGGCTGGCGCCTTAGCCGCTTGAGCCACAGGTGCCGAGCCAGCAAGAGAAGTTCTTAAGTTAGAGTTTGAGGTTGCTGTGAGCTGTGACAACACTGAGGGTGACATAGTGAGACTCTTTCTCAAAAAAAGAAAAAACGTTTTTAATATGAAACATATGGTCTACACTTTGTTCTAATTTGTGAGGGTGAACATATATTTTTTTGTCTTATTTATGTTTTTCTTTTGTGAATCAGCTGCTTGTGTTCTGTGCTCACATTTCTTTTGAAAGCTTCCTCTTTTTCCTTACTGATTTAGAAAACCTCCAGATGTTAAGGAGGCAACATACTCCCTGACTCCTTCCCCCGTGTTCTGCACAGTTCAGGGGTCTGGGAGGCCTCCCATGGGTCTCAGCATCTTTGTATGTGAACCAGGGGTGACAGGCTGTTGGGGTCAGATGAGCCTGGGCAGTGGCCCTTGAAGGTGCTCATTGTTCAGTCTGCCCAGCTCTGAGTCTTCGGTCCCACCTACCACTCAGTTGGCCCCCTTGACCATCCCCGTGGCCTCCCATGCAGGTCTCCCAGGTGGGCTGGGCAGGTCTCAGGCTCATGCAGGCAGGTGTACAGTGCAGACTGGGAAGGACTGAGCCACAGGCAGACGGCAGCCGGGCATTCTGTCCCAGAGGGCCCTGTCCCCCTTTGGCCTCTGGAGAGCAGCTTGCAAGTCTTAGCCCTGTCACATGACCCCATGGGCTAGATATAAGCCTGATCTTGGCTATTTCTCTCCCTGCAGGCATCACGTGGGGCAAGGTGGTGTCCCTGTATGCAGTGGCTGCAGGGCTGGCAGTGGACTGTGTGCGGCAGGCTCAGCCTGCCATGGTCCATGCCCTTGTTGACTGCTTGGGGGAATTTGTGCGCAAGACCCTGGCAGCCTGGCTGCGGAGGCGCGGTGGATGGGTAAGCGTGGGTGTGGGTGGGGGTGGGGAGTTGAGACTTTGGGTTCAAGGCTCTAGGAATGGTGGGTGGCGAGCCAAGGATAGGGCCAAGGGCTGTGAGCCAGACAGGATTGCTCCTCCTGTTCCCTCCCTAAAAGGGGAAGGCAGGTCCAGGGCACAAGTATCACAGGGAAACCTCAATTGTCCACATCCCTGATTGGCTGCCCCGCCTGCCAGGCCACAGGCACTGCTGGGTTCTGGGCACAGAGTGCTGGCTCCCCCCAGGGGGCCATTACCCTGTAAAATAAGGGGTGGGCAACGGTGTGTACATTAGAGTGGCTGGGGGTCACAGAGCCCTGTCCCCTCTGCTGGCCTTGGCTCAAGGCCTCATGATGTTGAGGTCAGTCTGCTGGGCCTGCGATCCCTCACATGGCTACGGGCATCCCTTGCCACTGAGATACCAAGGTTGATCCCCATCAACCTTGATGATCCCCATCATCCCCTGAAACCTGACAGGGCAGACACCAGGGTAGCCAGTGCATGGCCAATGTGGCCAACACCATGGCCACAGCCCAGCTAGAGGGACGAGACTGCATTTCTTAGCAAGAAGAAAAAGAAATAAGAAAACTGGAGTGGATAGTCACTCACTCTTCCAGCAGGGACGTTCTTGGGCTTCTAGAGAACTCAGTTCATACTCCTAGGCAGGGAAGGGTCTTTGCTGGGCCCTCCTGCCCCTGCCCATCCTGGTGCAGGGTACCAAGGCTCCTCTACAGAATGGGCCACAGCTGCCATCCCTCCAGCTGTTTGGCTCACGTTCCAGGCAAGGTGCTGGGGGTCTGGTGGCCTCTGCTCTGCACTTAATTGCCCCATCTCCCTCATAGACAGACGTCCTAAAGTGTGTGGTCAGTACGGACCCAGGCCTCCGCTCCCACTGGCTTGTGGCAACGCTCTGCAGCTTCGGTCGCTTCCTGAAGGCTGCCTTCTTCGTGCTTTTGCCAGAGAGATGAGCCACCTCTAGGCCTTCAAGCTCAATGCAGGAGGCCCTCAGTGCCTGGAACCTGACCTCTAGCCCATCCCTGAAGACCCTCTGGGAGGGGGAGTGGAGAGGAGCTTCCCTGAGCCTGGAGCTGGCTTCAGGGCCAGCCTGCGGCTCTCCTCTCACTCCCCTTCTCCTGGAACTCCTGTGTCTCCCCTTTCTGGGCCCAGAAAGTCGATGTCAACTCCCAGGCCCCAATGGAAGGAACCTGGATGTGCCATGCTCTCACTTAACACCTTGCGGCGCCTCCTAGGATACATCCAATCTAAGGACAAGTTTATCCTGGCCAAAGCTGGAGAAGCCATAGGAATTTACCCTGTAAACACAGCAGGTGCCTGTGCTGGCTGCTTAATTCCATCTCTGGAAGGAGTATGACCCTCCACCAGTGACAGGGTCTTTCTGTGGTGGGGACCAGGCTGTGGGGCTCTGTGCTGATGCTTCTGACCAGTGAATGGGAAACCCTGTGGATGAGAACGAGTCTACGGGGGTGAGCTTGAGCCCAGCAGCTTCCCTTCTGGTCCCCACACGACCACACAGGGACCTATTGGTGTCTCCAAAGGACTCATGAGGGGTAACCCAGCCCCTCAGAGAGCACTGGAGACCCTAAGCCACCCTAGCAGCATTCCCCGAGCCCTGGGTGGACATGGCACTCAAGCAGTGGCTGTTCCTGTATAGCTTACCATGGCTGGGCCCTGGAATGCAGCCTGGCATAGCAGTTGGCCTCCCCACACGGCCAGGCTGCATGCTGGGGAGGGCTGTGCAGGAAGTCAGCCCCAGATGCATGTGGAGCTCAAGGGCAGAGGCCGGTAATAAACCCCAATAGAATATTTTAATTTTAGACTAAGTGCCTCTCTTACTCTAAGGCCTCTACCTGGAAATTGGAAAAGGTGTGGAGAGTTTGCTGGAAAATAATCAGGTGGGGAGCAGGGGTTAGAGATGGGGCTTCCCCAGTCTACAAGTGAAAGGCATCTGTCTGCCTGTCACCAGTGGCAGGCAGAGCACTGTGCTTCCCCTCCAGGCAGCATGCAGCTCTGGGGAGGACACAGCACTGTCATTGGGGCTCCTGGTTAAGTGCTCAGAAAAGGCAAAAGTTTGGAGTGGCTCAGAACTCTGGTTAAACTAGGGTATATATAGTGGGACTCCTGGTCCTAACTGCAGTGGGTGAATTAGAAAGAGTGAGCTCAGTGGTTGGGGTGCCGGTCACATGCACCGGGATTGATGGGTTCCAGCCTGGCCCTAACCTACAATGACAACAAGAACAACAAAATAGCCATGGCTCAGCGCCTGTAGCACAGTGGTTACAGCGCTAGCCATATACACAGAGGCCGGTAGGTTTGAACCCAGCCCAGGCGAGCTAAACAACAACTGAAATAAAAAATTTTGCCAGGTATTGTAGGGGTACCTGTAGTCCCAGCTACTTGGGAGGCTGAGGCAAGATAATTGCTTAAGCCCAAGAGTTTGAGGTTGCTGTGATTCCACAGCACTCTACCAAGGGTGACGTATTAAGACTGTCTCAATTTAAAAAAAAAAGAGTGAACTCAGAGATTGAGATTCCCAGCTCCAGCGCCACATGAATAACCGGAAAATTGCTAGATCCACCCTGAGGGAACTCATCTTGAGCTGCAGGGTTGAGTGTGGAAAATCAAACTCAGCTCTTACCTCTGAGTAGCTGATGACAAGCTGGACTCCAGCCTCACGGAGTGTCCACTGCTAACGTGGGGGTACTGATTTAGGAGGAAAGGGGTCCTGATATCGGGGTGAGTGTGCAAGAAGACCCAGCTGGAGGTGTAGACTGGCCTCTGCTCTGGCCAAGGAGCCCAGCCCTGTACTACCTGAGGAGGGTTGTGGTGAGGCCCACCCACCCCTGCTCTGGAACCGTAACCAGACTCAGGCTATTGTGAGCTGTACTTGTGCTATACCCCAAGAGAACTCTGGTTTCCAGTTTATACAGTCCTGGGAACATGAGGGGATTCATGCTGAGGTTGTGGGGGAACAGTGAAACAAATATAAAATTGCATCAGGCTGAACTTACTGCTATGGACTCACCACACAGTTTCTGCATTTGATGTTGCAACTGGTGGACATTAGACAGGCTCTAACTGGTTGGCAGAAACATGGGCCAAAATGTGGCCCACCAGGGACAGAATGGAAATGCCTGGTCTCTCTTGGCTCAGAGCAGTGATTTTCAACCCGTGTGCTGTGAAAACTTTTAAAGATCATTAAATTATTTTTGAAAGATGTTCAAAGCACAGTAAGTATATTCTTTTACTTTTTTCTTGACCAACATAATTTAAGTGTGTTGCAGAAGTTTAACTTTAGGTTGAAATGTGCTGTGAGATAAAAATGGTTGAAACACACTGGCTTAGAGGAAGGCATTCAAAGGCTTAGGGAGATTGGAATACTAGAATGAATGTGTCTCCACCCCTTGCAGCCCTCCCTCTCCTCCCCCTGCACCCTTCCTTCTCCCTCTGCAGATCCCCCCTTTCCCTCCTCCCCCTGCAGCTCTCCCCCTTCCTTTTTTCCTTCTGGCACTGTTCCTTTTCCTCTTAAATCTGCAGCCCTCCTTGCCAGGACATCCTCATCATCTCTCAGGACCCAGCCCTCACATCAGCACCCTAGGCCTCTCTTGATCTTGGCAAGGTTTCTGGGGAGAGTGCCAGGCCCAGGAATCTGGGTCAGGAGGTCCTCACAGGTGACATGGGAAGTGAATGCCAGACCCTGCCTGACAGGGACACTGCCCTCAGCTCTGCCCTTTGCAGAGATGCTTTGGACACTGGTGGCCAAATCTAGTATGATGTGGTGTGAAGTATGGGATGTTTCTGGGATCTCCTACCCATCTGACGTAGGCTGCCTCCCACTACCATGTGCCATGCTGGAGAGCTCACGTGCATACTCCCCACAGGTGCACACTCATGCATGTGCTCATGTACCAAAACAAATGCCAGGTTGCTCCACAGCCCTGTCCTCACTAGCCCATCTTGACCCTTTTCACTTTCACCTCCCATGTGTCGTCTGTCCCTCTGGGCCAGGCTTGCCTCAGTACTGGGATTCCTGCACAGACCTCAGGCTTCCTGCCTACTTTCTTTCTGACACAGAATCTCACTTGTCACCTTTGGTAGAGTGCCATGGCATCAACTCACAGCAACCTCAAACTCTTGGGCTCAAGAGATTCTCTTGCTTTAGCCTCCCGAGTAGCTGGGACTACAGGTGCCTGCCAGAACACCCACTACTTTTTAGAGACAGGATCTGGCTCTTGCTTGGGCTAGTCTCAAACCCATGAGCGCAAGCAATCCATCCGCCTCAGCCTCCCAGAGTGCTAAGATTTCATGCGCCTGGCCTGGTTTCCTACTTT